AATGACCCGCCCCAGGACCCCCCTGCCAGTCTACTGACTTGTTCCCTCTGACTATCAGCCAAACCAGCGGATCAGTCCATGATGCTCTCCAAACCCAACAGACTAACCCAAAACACCCCCTCCCCCCCATCAGTCAATCCAATGGACCAGTTCATGATACTTTTACCTGCCCAATGGACTGCTTCATGACATCATCGCCAACTGAATGGACCACTCCAGGACACCCCACTCAATCCAATGGATGACTCTAGGATGCCCCCCGGACTCAAATGGACGAGTCCACGGCCTCCCGCAATTCAATAGACCATGCTGTGACCTCCCCTCTGACTCATTAGCTCACTCCATGACATCTCCCTGGAGCCAATGGACTGCTCCAGGACACCCCTGAAAACCCATTGGCTCGCTCCATGACACGCCCCAACCCATTGGCCTACCCCACGCCTCCACCCCTCCCCCACCAAAACCACCAGCCCCCTCCCTGCTCAACCCAACCGGCCAATGCCACGACACCCTCAACTTAAGCAGCCTGTGCCAAGATGCCCTTAGCCTGAATTGCTTCTGCCAAGACTCCCCTAACCCAACCGGCCTATGCCTGGACACCCACAGCCCAACTCAACTCAACCCAACCGCCCTATACCAAGATGCAGCCAAACCCAACCCTACCAGGCTAGGCCAAGATGCTCCCAACCCAACAGCCACATTTATCCTAGACCCCGGACCCCGCCTTCCCCACCACCCCCTTACCGTCCTCGGTGGGCACGTAGACGTTGAGATACAGGCAGTCCTCACTCTGGTTCTGGACGTAGGCCGCTACCCCCTCCAGGTTGTCCGTGAACCACACGGGCAACATGATGGCTGGGAGGACGCCATGGACATTCTGGGGGCAGACGGGGGCAAAGGCCGTGGCATTTCTCACGGCTGCCCACGAGGCTGGGGCCTCAGGGGGCTGCCAACGCCGGGGCCCCACAGGCGGTGTGGCGTAGGGCACCCCCAGGAACTGCACCACAGGCCCCAGGATCTCGTTGTTCAGGTCCTTCTTGATGCCCCGGAGCTTCCCAAAGTTGGTGGCCACCACAGGGAAGCGGTCGTCCACGCCCCGGCTGCCGCCCCCGCCCCAGATGGGCCCCGCTGCCCACAACAACAAGGCCAGGCCAGCCTGAGAAGCGAGGGCGCCCCACATGGCACCTGGGAGCAGAGGATGCTAGGGGAGAGAGAGAAAGAGAAAGAGCGCGAGCGGGTGGGGCAAGGGGGGGCAGCAGGGGTGGGGCTAGCAAGGGTGCAGGGGTCTGTTGCGCTCCATGGCAAGCGAGGGGCAGCACAGGAGGGTCAGAGTACAGGGCACGGAGGGGGCAGCCTGGAAATGGGATGGAAAGAACGATGGATAAAATAATGGACGGAGGAATGGACAGATAGATGGACGGACGCAAGGATGGATGGACGGACAGACAGACAGACCGACCAATGGGTGGAGAGATGGAACAAGGGATGGGTGGAATAATAGATGGAAGGGCAGATGGAGGGAACAAAGAATGGGTAGATGGAGTGATGGACAGAGGAAGAGAATAAATGATGGATGGATAGATGAGAGGTAAAAGGATGGATAGGTGGATGGACAGATAGATGGGCAGATATGATGATGAAAGAAGAGCACAATGGATGGATGGATGAAGCAATGGATGAATGCACAGAGGAATGGATGGATGGATGATTGAACAATGGACGGAAGGGTAGAGGGATGGACAAATAAATTGGTAAACAATGGATGGCCAGATGGACGGATAAGACAATGGATGAGCCAGAGAAATGGATGGACAGAATGAGAAAGAGGTGGCATGATGGATGGATGGAATGATGAAGGGACAGATAGAATGACAGGCAGATGGATAAAACAATGGGTGGACGGACCAATGGACAGATAAAGGAATGGATAGAGGGATGGAGGGAGGGATGGATGCACAGCACAGTGGACAGATGGACGGATGAGCAGGAGAGATGGGGGGGGAAGAGAGAGAGAAGCTAGGTCAGTGCTGTTTGCTCCTACTGCCCCC